AAGAGTCTCAGTCTTTCTCTAAGTCCCAAAGTGGGGGGCTGTGTGGTGGGGGTGCCCAGGACACAGAGGCTGGCAACAGGCAGCCATCACCCTGGCCACAAACAGTTATCCTGTGGGTCCAGGGGTCACAGCAAACACTAGGGGCTCCTGCAAGCTGGTGGCACTGGAGGCCCTCCTCCAAGGCCCAAGTGGGGGCCTGCTGCAGTGTGGCAGGCAGGACCCAGCGGCCCTGTGGGGCTGGGGACCAGGCATAGGGGGGCCTGGACTCGTCAGTTGCTGCTGAGCTAGCTCCACACAGTGCTGGTCCAGGGCCTCCGGCTGGGTCCAGTGCTGCCGCTGTGCCTGATCCCATACCTCCTCCTGGACAATCTCCTGAGTAACATCTTCCACCTGCCAAAGCAGCTCCCATACCTGTTGTGCCTGCTCCCATGCTGCCCAGTTCTCCACCACCAGCAGCCGCTGGAGCAGAAGGGTCTAGTCCCTGGTGCGCTGATTAAGCAGCCAGCATGTCCAGGCAGCTCTAGTGGCAGGGGGCAGCAACCCTGATAAAGCACTCCTGCAGGGCCCTGCAGCCTCTCCCCTGTGTCGAGATGTTGACCCTGCAGAGGCAAGAGACAGAAATCTTTTGTGCAATTTTTCAACATTGCAGAGATAAGATGCTCTGCATAAGGGACCCTGCACTGCCCAGCCTCAGATTAGAGATCAGCCATGCACAGGTTCCCAGGGACCATGGTAAGCTGTCTGGGTAGGGCTGGGCCTAGGCACCTGTTAGTCAAGCCCCCCAGCCCTGTGTGCTCCCCTGGGGCTGGCAAGCCACTGGGTGCTGGCTGCAGACATCCTGCCTCCCTTGCCCCTTTGCAAGGGTGGGCCAGGCCAAACTCGTGGCAGCACCTGCTGCTGCATCTCCAGACCCCACTCCCCACTCCCTCCCTGCAGGCCAGCCACTCTCTCGCCCAGACTATGGCGGCCAGGCTTCGGGCATAAGGGGCTCTTGGACAGCTGCACTGATGGGCGGTCTGTGCCCCCCCCCCCACTAGAGGCCTCTCTGGGGAGGCTTCCTGGGACCAGCTGCCACTGTACCCCAAGCATGCCCCTACTGCATGTGCCCTGAGTGGTGCATGATGAACTGCTTGTGCAGGTGGAGGGCTGCCCAATCCACTATGCCTGCTGCTGATGCTCCTGCTCATGTACCAAGCACACCTGTTCTCCTGGTTCAGGACCCAGAGCTACAATGGCACGGGGGACAAGCCTGGACTGCCCCTCAACTGCCGCCACCACTATCTGGAAGGCTACCTGTGGTAGCACTACATGGCCCTGCCCCTGCTGCTAAGGAGGACATCACTGCAGGCATCGATACCTTCCTTGGTGTGAGAGGCCTGTGCCTGCCCAGCTTCAGAGAGACAGGCTTCTCAATAAATTTTGAACTGTGTCCCATCTCTCAGTGTGCTGTGCAGGGGGAACCTTGGGCCAGGGAAGGAAGTGCAGGTAGAGGTAGGAACGGGGACAGGGACCTCCCCCAGTTCAGGACTTACCACCTGTCCAGGGGTGGTGAGGTTGGTGCCTCAGCGTGGGGCTCCCAGTCAGCAACAGTGCCTGCACCCATTGCCTATGGTCTGTGGTATCTGGCAGGCCAACATGTGGCCAGGGCCCCCCCTCCAAGGGGGACTGGTGGCTGGTGGTGGCATGGCCAGCCGCTTCTCATGTCAGGCTGTAGGTCTGGGCTGTGGGTGAGACAGCTGCTGGGGAGGTGGGTGGGATGGGGCACTGAAGGTGCCAAAATGCAGGTCAACTCCTGCATGAAGGGCATTGTCTTTTGGGCACAACTGGACCAATGATTGAACTGTATCATGGCTACCCACTGTGCCTGCAAGGCCTTGACCTTCACATGGCACTGTGGCACTGTCTGACAGTGCCTCATACACGCATCCTGCTGGATATTGCCTCATAAATGTGGGTGTTCAAGCACCCGCCCCATGTGAACTGGACATCGGCCCTACCCCAGCGTGCCACAAGGTCAGATACCTCCTCCTGGGTCCCATTGGGGGCCTGGGTACTCTGCCTGGGTGTGGGCATGCAGACAGAGCCAGGGCTTGACAGGGACAATGTGTTGGACATGCTTCCTGTGTCAGCTCTCTGGGCCTCTACGTGGCTGTTCTTGCAATGCCAGCCTTGGAGGACTGCCAGCAGCACCCAGAACAGGGGCATAGGCAGGTACTGCAAGTTGCATGGCAGAGGTGCTTCATCACAGTGCCTGGTAAGAGACAGAGCTGGGGGTGAGGAGCATCAGGGAGCAGGTGCTGACCCTGCTACCATAGAGGGGGCCAGCCACCCTGCAGGGAATCTTAGGGCTGGGCAAGGGATGCAGCAGACTGTGTCCCCTTGGAACACTCACCTTCAACCAAGGAGAAGCTCTGGCTAGGGGAAAGGACAGCCAGAGGCTGCCTGGGCCCTGTCCAGGGGGGCACAAGGAGCCTGGTGGACTCCTGCAGACAGCACTGGCTCTTTCAGGCTCCTTGTACTGTGCACCCCAAGGCACAAAATGGTTGGAGACTTTTTATATCCTGCAGCTAGGGGCTGTCAGAGAACAGCTCAGCCCTGGAAGAGGAGAGGTGGCCAACCAGGGGCCTGTGGCTGAATTGTGGCTGGCCTCCTAGTGGCTGGGCTGACCCAGCCTTGAAGTCCCTACGTTAACACACATTAACACATCTACATGTGCGTCAATGCATTTTTAACTAATCCCGCCTAAATTTTATGCTTGCTTTATGATTTATATGTGTAGATGCATGCCCTTAATGCACCTTAAATAAGGCTAATGCGCATTAAAATGCCCACATGTAGACATGCCCACTGATGGGCAACTCAAGTTACTCGGAGTAAGTGAACAATTCAATTGATCTGACAGCCAGCAACTTCTGTGGTCATTAGTATTATGTGCTGGGATGACTGGGAAGTAAATTAAAAGCCTCAGCCTGCTCTGTCAATTGACAAGTGTGGGCATACGTAGACGAAATGAGGGCCCTAAATTGAAGAAGTGGATTTTTAGAAATACCACTTCAGTCTAGGGCCCTTTTAACCCCTGTGTCATGTACACACCCAAACTTACCTGCCTTTCCGGTGGTAGGGAGGGAAGGGCGAGCTGCCAGCAGGCAGAGTGGTTCCTGGGCTGCAGGAGAGGCAGCAGCATGGCAGCAACACCCACCTGCAGGCACCCAGCATGGGTAGTCCTGGGGGGGCACCGCAGCTGTGGAGGGAAGCACCAAGCCCTTGTGCAGCTCAGGCAGGCAGGTTAAAGGGGGGGAAAAAAAAGATGTTGGGCAGAGCCTGCCTTCCTGGGCTGCTACCAAGCTGCCTGCATAGGCTTCCTGCAGAGCCCCTGAGCTGCACAGAGTGTGGTGCTTCACTCCATGGCTGTAGAGCAGCAAACTAAAACTCCTTGGAGGAGTTTAGTTTGCTGTGCCCCAAGTCATTTAAGGCACATTATGCCACCAAATTTGCTACAGCAGCTGGAATTACTGCCTAGGGAAACTTTACCACAAGGCCATACATGCCTTTACCATAGTCATACCAGAGGTTTTGGGCAAATGCAAAAATAGAGGCCACCTTTCATGATTCCCATTTCTAGACCTTAACTACATAATTAAGCTTTTTCCTATTGCAAAATTTTATTCTGCACCTCATTTCCTGTTTCAAAAGGGGTGGAGAGGGCAACTGAGGATACTCTTGCTGTAGGGAGAATCTCCAGATCTCAAATAGTGTAAAGCCATCACAGCCAGTTCTACTTCAAGAACCAGGGGCAGAGAGTTCATTTTTGGGCAGACTGAAATAGGATGGGGCAAAGCCAAAGTGCTTGCTAGTGCCTCTCCATGAATAAAGTTGCCTTTTGAGGATCATTCTAGTCAAGACAACATTAGATGACCTGTTGATTGCTTTCAGCTCTTCAAAACCTAAGAAAACCAAGGACCTGACAGTAGAAGTCTTGAGGCCCCTTCTCATGTTCTTTCTATGGCCATGTACAAACATTCAGTTTCTCCTGAGAAAGTCACTGCTCTCCCAGGAGCAACCACAATTGTTCAGGATTTTTCTCCCAAAAGAAAACTGGCCACTCCAGGAGGAAAATAACCCAGGAACAACCAGGGTTCAGTAACTCCCAGGAGAATTTTTCCTGGAAGGGCAAATGTCAGTATATGTTATTTTTTGAGAGAAGCCACAGCATAGTCCTCAAGCATCTCCAGATGATTTGCCCTTCTCCCCCATCCTCCTGTTCCTACCCTCTCACCCCCGCCCCCAAAAGGACAGTGCATCACTTGCTGGACTGTACTGTTCCAGCCAAGCAGGGAACAGAACGTACCCCCTACACACTCCTACATTACACTGCAGGGAGACGTAGGCTGACTGAACAGTCTCAGTCAGCCAATTAAGGTTGCTCTATACACTGTTTCTATCTGCCTCTGGACCTACAAAGCATGCTGAGGTCCCCCCTTGCTGCACAGAATCAGTACTGCAAGCTGTCTGCTCTTCAAGGACTTACCCAGAGATACCTAAACAGACATTTGATGCTAAGTTTTCTACCAGAAAACTAGTAGAAAAACCTGGGAGAGTTCTTTCAGATCATTTGAATGTGTGTATGCAGCCCATGTCATTCATCCCTTGTGTAGACCCTGAGGAATACTTTATAGCTGGTTTTCAGGAAACTACAGAAACAGTTATTGTGTTTCAGCCCAGAGGTGGTGACGTCTGGTAGATGAAATGATCCCTACAGTATTTTAGTTTGTAAGTCAGGTTGCTATGGCAAATGTGTAAAGCAGTCTGGGACTCTTTTTGATGAAAGGTGCTTTATAAATGTAAGTCTTTATATTTTTGGGTTAACAAGTGCTGGGGGAGAGAGATGTTTTATATGCTCATTAAAAATGAAGCATTTGTCTTCAATTTATAGTCTCCAATAGCTGATTAGTTTTGTTTTGTTCTTTTACTGATAGTGCTGCCTTCTGCTCTAATTTCAGGTCTCCAGGTGGTTTTAAATTCAATCATCAAGGCCATGGTTCCCTTGTTGCACATTGCCCTGCTGGTGCTGTTTGTCATAATTATCTATGCCATAATTGGGCTGGAGCTATTCATGGGGAAGATGCACAAGACCTGCTACCATGTGCATGGGGCATTAGCAGGTAAGGGACATGTTATGTGCAGTGAAGCCTGATTCACTGTTGTCCTGCATTTTGTATTAACATTTCTACCAATAGAAGGTAGGCATTAAATACTTCCATTCTGATCTTTCAACATCCAGCTAGCACTGTGTGCATTAGTGTAAATGACAACATAAAATATGGAGCAATTGTTAATTGGAGTGCAAGAATGTGAGAAAAGGTACTCAGATGGTGCTTATTTACCAGATAAAGTGAAAACTACAGGGGTTTTGTTTAATGAAAGCAGAGAAAACGTGCTGCGTTTGGTTGGTCAGTCTCACAATTTTCTTTTCCCTGTGTTGGGAAGGCCATGATTAGAAAGTCTTTGCATGTGTAACTGTGTGTGTCCAAAAGGTGACACCGACTGTGTGTGTTTGCTGGGGCAAGTAGACTTATTGACAGACCTGGAGCCAGAAAGCATGTGTTTAGCCATAGAGCATTATAACAGGACTGGCGTTGTGACGCCCCCTGGTGGCTATAACTCCTACCTCACTTGGGCCACTCAGATACTCTCCCTTTTCTCCTACCTGCCACGCCTTGTTATGGTTATTGGTTCTTGAAAAGGGAGGCTGCTCAAGCGTCCTAGAGTGAGCCCTAGTCCTTTTTCCTGCCAGTGGATCCTTCTTGACTCACTCTGGTCCACACACTCAGTGGGCCCTCCTGACCCTTCATGCCCCAAGAGCAGCTGTTGGGTCATTGCCTCTGACCTCCCTTGTAGCCATGCTTATACCTCACAGATGGTGCCAAGTAATTGTTTTAGTGAGTAATTGGCCACAGTCCAATATCAGGCCTCCTCGGGCCTCAATGCCCTTGTTGAGGCCTTGGCCTTCTCAGGCTCCTCCCCTTTCCTCTAGCTGGGCCCTTTGGCCCAGGCCCACAGTGCCAGTCATGGTCTCCACCCCTCTCAGGCTGTGGGCCCCAGCCCTGGTCTCCATCCCTCTTGGGCTGTGGGCCCCTGGCCTCCTTGGCCTCAGGCTGCCTCTCCTGTCTCTCCCACCTAGGCTTTGGCCCTCTCAGCCTCAGCCTGCTTTTGCCTCTGAGCCCAACCCTGACAGGGCTTAAAACACTCTTGGGTACCCTGCCTCTGTCCTGGGTGGGCTGAAGCCCTCTCCTGCCCTCTGGTACTATGGCAACCTCCTCCTCCCTGAAAGTCACAACCCAGTTCACCAGTAAGGCTCAAATGATAACATAAGCAGACTGGCTATAACTAAAACTCTTATCCCACTGACTGTATAACAAAACCCTACTCATCCTGGGTCGTAGTTCCCTACAAGTCCTCAACTCCTTCCTTGCAGTTCCCAGGTATGGCAGGATCTTAGTCTGTTACCCAGCTACAGCTGTCTCACAGCAGAGCTCTTCTTCCCATCGCCTGCAGAGCCACACTGCCTGCCCTGGCTCAGGCCCTGGGTTTATATGCCTCCCAAGCCCTGCACCTTCCAGTCAGGTGGCTTCCCCGGCCACCCACAATGGGTTTACAATTAGAACCTGATGGCTAACTCCTCGTTAGCTTGCAACTGCTACTCTGACTGCTTTAGCAGTGCCCTGGCTGCTTGTAGCAGGGATCTACCCTACTGTCCTATTGCAGAGCCTCTGGCTTTTCTCCTGGCTGCCTATTCCCCTGCAGCCAGCTCCTCAAGTACAGTGTTTCCCCCAACTGGGGAAACTCCCTACTGCTGCTTCTCCACTTAAAGTAACAGGAACCTCTGACTCCCTGTTACAAGTATGTTTTGTCTAATTTAGAGATTTATATAACACCAATCACTTCAGGGCTAAATAGCAGCCGAAGTACTCCTGTACTTTGAGTTCTATGTTGTTTTAGTGGGATTTTCCTGGTTTAGAAGGATCCTCGAGTTAACCATCCCCAGATAATTCATTCATAAGCATTCTTGTCTACACTGAGGACAAAATCTTGGCTATCATGAGGCTAGCTAAAAGCTAGCAATGCAGGCCAAACCAATGAGGGCTGCAACCTGTGCCACCCTCAGGGGAGTTCAAGGTTCTTATTCAAGAACTCATACTCATTCAAAAATGCATTTCATACTCTGCCTCTGAGGAGAGGACCATGTGTTTGTTTATGTCGAAAGAAGTCTGGACATATTTCAGGCTGCTGTATCAAAAATACATCAGGGCTAGAGACTATCACAGAAGAGCAAACAGTTAAGCAGAGGGCTCCCTACATACATAATATAAATAATACAGAGATAACCAAAGGAGACGAGAGGGAAGAAAGAGAATTCATTGCCTAGAGGCATCTTTTTTGCATTTTCATTTTGCATTCCCTCTTCATTCTGTTTCCCCACATGATTCACCCACCACTCTCTAAGTCTTCATCTTCCCAGGGAAAGGAAAAACTATCCATGTGGAGACTGACCTATTGGACAGTGAACCAAGGAGCACCAGTCACAGATTCCATCTGCAGATGCTGCACTTCATAGGGCATACTTATAGGCTTCACAGTGGCTTAGTCGTGTCAGGTTGTGTTAACAAAAGCACAGCACTAGTGGCAATTTCTGGAGTCCTTATGCTTGCAGGGAACAAAGACAAGCTGACTGCCTCAAGAGACCCAGGTTTCAGGACAGCAACCAGACAGCAAGGTTATAGGTTCCTCCTTACAGAGACACTTGAATGGAAGAGAAGGGATGACAACTTACGTACAGTTATTTCCTAAGTGCGGCTTTCTCCATATGTTGTAACTTTCATGGTATTGAAAAGTTAGTGAATTTACTGTAAGTGAAAGGGGCCCAAGAGCTAGCACTGGGGATAGAAGTCCTTCAACTCTTTACAAAACAGGTAAAAGTCTTAGGAGCAACTATGTCAGCTCTGCCTCACAGAGAGGAATCTAAGTGATGTGGAGAGACACTGTCATCTTTAGATGATATATTTCACTCTTCATATGAATTCAGTCATTGGCCTTTCTCTTGAGATTACCAGTAAAGCTGGCAATTCTTGCCAAACATACCATTGTTATTTTATGGGGTTGCTTGACATGGACCAAGCCTCCAGTTCATTTTACATAGATTAAAGCAGCAATAATATTGTAATAACTTTGTCACTAGTAAACTGAGTTGGATTTTACTCAGCACCAGAGAGATGAATGACTCCTGTATCCTATTACTTGTCCAGTCCCTAATATATTTTAATTTTAATCTCCTGCTATAGCAGAGAAGTTTCTAATCAAGGAGCATTACCATAAGGACTTTGTTTTTATATCTCAGGATATGACTGTGGTTAGAAGTGCAGGTAGTATGAAAGTAAAAAGGAGTTAATCAAAGGAATCTTTCCCACTAAATCCATCAGGACGTGACTCCCAAATTAGTCCTATGGTTTGTTGCTCATTTGTCAAACCATCTGCTTTGTCTGACCTGAGCAGCAATGATTCTCTGTGAGGTGCTGGGTACTGATGACTCTGACCTAGTCCTGATCATATGCCAGCAACATACACAGAAGGAAAGTGCCAAAAGAGGTCTTTAGTTTCTGTCTTTCTATAAAAACACCAAATTTCAATTGCTAGAAAATATACTGGCACTGTAATGACATGCCAAGTAGTTTTACAATCATTTAAAAATATGCATTTTTTGTTTAATTACTACAGATTACAATACCTGATTCCAGTCTTGGTACTCTGGTGTACTTTGGTATAAATGTGATCAAACTTTTTGGAAACCTATTGCATGAAATATATAGTAAAAATAAGCAAGCAAAATGAAGTCCCGCATATCTGTTATAAATGAAGGACCTGATTCTTCAGTCTTCATACAGGAAAAAAACCCTATCACTGTCAATGGCAGCTTTGTCTGAATAAGGACAACCTGAGTGTACCCCTTTTGGCCAACTGTGCTCATTACATATTAGCAGAAATGTGTTCAGTATCTAGTCTTAATATTTGTGTTCATTTATATGTCTTAAAATTGTCTCTTCTGGACTTTTTGATGCACAAAGGAGTTAAAAATAGACCTGTTGTAGAAATCCCTGGTTTTACAAAGGTCTTGGTACCTCAAACCTGTATGACCTAGAGAGAAGAGTAATCAGAATATTAGGGCTGTGTGAAGCTCCGGTCCCTGATTCGATTTAGCAGAGATTGGGCCTGATTTGGTGGCCAAATCTCCAAATCTGAATCAAATCAGTGGACCCTTTAATCTCTCCAAATCGAATCAGAACCCTCCAAATCGATTTGGAGAGATTCAGAAAGATTCGGCAATTCGGACATAGAGACAGCTTTAAATGTTTTTTCTACATACCTCTAGGTAGCAGGCAGCTTGTGAATGCTGCAACGCTGAGGTGCACAGAGCATCCCACAGAAGCATGGGGGCTCCCCAGCGTGCTCAGCAGCAGACCTGGAAGTGGATCAGGAGCACTTCCAGTCCACTTCCGGGTACACTGGGTGGTGCCCTAGGGGGCCCCCCGCGTTCACCTGGCTCAGCAACTGGTGCCTCCTGGATCTGGGGGGGGGAACCTGGAGTCCCCCTGCTGCCAATCACTGAGCCCGGGGGGGGCAGCACGCTCCCCAGCAGACCCAGAAGTGGACCAGAAATACTTCCAGTCAACTTCTGGGTTTGCTGCCGAGCACATGGAGGGCCCCCACCCTCCTGTGGGACACTCCATGGACCCCAGCATCACAGTATTCACAAGCCATGCTGGTACCTTGAGGTATGTAGAAAAAAAGCTCTGTCTATGTCTGAATCAGCATCGAATCTTCAGATTCAGCTGAATCAAATCAGGGCTAGTGATTCAAATCAACTAATCGAATCACTGGCCCTGATTTGGGCCGAATCTGGATCCACATCAGATAGGACCCACTTCACACACCCCTACAGAATATAGTCTTGCAGCACGTCTAAGCACTACAGAATTGAAGATAAGATCCTGTGAAGTGTCTAAGCTCAGAAGGGGAGAGTTGTAGAGGATCACACAGGAGTTCAACATTAGTCCAGCCTACCTTAATAGCTCCATGGGGCTGAAACACGGCTCCTACAGAGGTTAGGCTCTCCACAGAAAGAAAACTTCACTTAGAGCTGCTCTAGGGGGCATAAGTGGCCTTCCAAAGTTAACCCAGAGTGCTGGTGAATTGGAGTATAGGAAATGATGCTTGCAAAGTGCACTGCAGAGAAATCCAGTATAAGTATTTTGGTACCCTCTGTGGTGTTTAAGAGCACTGTTCCTTGTGGATGCACATTACACGGGGCGTATCACAGCTTTGATATGGCCATCCTCTAAAACAGTGGTTTTCAACCTGTGGTCTGTGGATCCCTGGAGACTATGCTAAGGGGTCTGCAAAAGATAACCATGATCAATCTAAAGTATGTGAATACCACACTTACAATTCAAAGGGGTCTCCACCTCCATTCAAATTTTTTTAGGAGTCTACAAATGAAAAAAGGTTGAAAACCACTGCTTTAAAACAAACCAGAAATCACGTGTCACTCATTTCAACCAATAGTTTTTGGGGTTGTCCTCAAACAGTTTGCCAGGTGCATAGCAAAAGTCTTGTCCCAAAAGCATATGCCCTTCATTTGTTTTCCTAGTGAACCAGGCAGTATTTAATTCTCTCTTTTTCTGTTTTTGTCTTCCTGTCATTTAAGATACACCTGCAGAAGAGGATCCTTCTCCTTGTGCTCCTCAGTCAGCACATGGACGGCAGTGTCAGAATGGCACAGAGTGCAAAGCTGGCTGGGAAGGCCCTAAGCATGGCATTACAAACTTTGACAATTTTGCTTTTGCCATGTTAACTGTGTTTCAGTGCATCACTATGGAAGGCTGGACAGATGTACTGTACTGGGTACGTATCCGAAAATGACCCATTCCAGGGACCACTAATGCTGTGTGGTCACTCTGAAAACATGGGACTCTGCCTTGATATTTTGGGGGGGGGGGGGTTGCTAACTCACTATGATTAATTCCATGCAGCAAGGGTGCAATGGGATCTTTTACCTGACAGCATTAAAGAACATTTGAATGTTGCCTTTCTATTAATATCAAAATATTTAAATATTTAAAGATGGCAGATGGAATATTGGCTTACAGATATGCAATATACCTTTGTTGACCAAGAATGCTATTGGATAGCCCTTCCAGCATGTGAAATGTCTCTCACAAATCCTGATTACTAATGCAATGTTATTTTCTAACCAACAAAGATAACTGTATGCAATAATGGTATTATTGTTAACCAAGGCACTAGACTGACTGACCACAGGTTTCATAAAGAAGATCAAAAAATCCCTCTAGGCTTCAGTGATAATCCTGATTATGACCCTCAGTCTGACACTAATTCTTATCCTAATCTTAGTTCTGACATTGGCCTAGATCATGTCCCTCATGTTTATCTTAATTATGGCTCTAACTCTGTTCTTAATGCTGACTTTAAAATTAATTCTCGCCCTTCCCCTGGAGGTTTTTGTGCAGCTTGCTTCAGTTCTTGAGTATTGTAACCACTATTGATTTAAGAGACCCAGTAACACTAAGTTAGTCCCATCAGAGTTAAAATAAGACTTTTTTTTATTGTATACCAGACATCTCTGCACTTCTGAACTATGCCTTGGACTTTGGCAGGGTTATAGAATATGTCAGGAACCTCCTTTAAAAAAATGGTCCTGTCTAATCTGTGGGATTAATCTAGATTTTAACTGTGATTTGGGCTATTGTGTTCTATCTGGTTCTCTCAATGTGGCAAGATTCCAGCGTAGATGTGACTTGAGCCTCGGTGCATTGTAAAATTAACTGACAAAGATTCTAAAGGAAATAGGGAAAGGGTCTCAACTGCAGGAAGCTTGTGTTGCTAATCACTATCACCTTGTCTTGTGAACATGAATCTGAAGCTACATTCTACCTGCCACTGGCTTTAAGGCATTTCTCTTTCAAAATTTAGAGTAGTGGGGACCAAGCTTTTTGGCAGGTGTGCCACCACAATCCCCTTCTGCTGACTGATCTGCTGTTCTGCTGTCTGCTTTCTCCCCTATTTGCTGCTGGGCTGCCTGCTCCTAGTGTGATCTGCCATGTGCCGCACACATATGCTGCCCATGCTATTTGTGGCATACTTGTCACAGGTTGACCATCCTTATTTAGAGTATCTCAGGATTAGGGCTGTGCAAAGCTTCAGTCGCTGATTCGATTTGGAGGAAATTCAGTCTGATTCAGTGGCCTAATCTCCGAATCCAAATTGAATCAGGAGACCTGTTAATCTCTCCAAAGCAAATCAGAAGCCTCCAAATGGATTCAGAGCGATTTGGAAAGATTTGCTGATTCAGCCATAGACACCAGTTTATATGTTTTTTCTATGTACCTCGAGGTACCAGGCGCGGCTCATGAACGCTGAGATGGTGGAGCAGATGGAGCATCCATAGGGAGCATGGGGGAGTCCTCCATGCTCTCAGTGGCAGGCCCGGAAGTGGGCCAGAAGTACTTCCAGTCCATTTCCTGGTTTGCCGCAGAGCACATGCTCCACCCGGCCCCCCCCGGCTCAGCAACTGGTGCCTCCTGGGTCTCGGGCAGGGGGGTCCCCCTGTGGCCAATTGGTGAGCTGGAGGACTGGGGGGTGTCCCCCATGTGCTCAGTGGCAGACCCAGAAGTGGAATGCAAGTACTTCCAGTCCACTTCCGGGTCTGCCACTGAGTGCACAGAGGATCCCCCCACACTCCCATGGGATGCTCCATCTGCCCCACCATCTCAGCACTCATGAGCTGTGCCTGGTACCTCAAGGTAAATAGGAAAAACATATAAAACTTTGTCTATGGCCAAATCGCTGATTCTCTGAATCAGAATCGAATCTTCAGTTTCAGATTTCACCGAATCGAATCGGGACAGTGACCTGAATCAGCAAATCGAATCACTGTCCCCTAAACTGGGCTGAATCTGAATCTGAATACTGCCTGCTTCAAATACCCCTACTCAGCATATCCCCTACATGTGGATTAAAGTTAGATTATTCTGGTGGTGTCAGCTCATACCTGGTGATTGAGATAAGGAGCAGAGATTAAAATAATATTTGAAGAGAATCTCTCCAAAACAGAAATTAGATTTACTTGAATAAGAATATTAATACAAACTATGAAGAAAAGGAAAACTTAAATGAGAAAAGAAAGCAGACACAATTTCTCAGCATTTGACTACAAAGAATGTATTTGTCTGTCTGTACCATATTTCGGTGGCATCTATCTCTGTAGGATCTGAAAGCTGTATCTCTCATGGGCAATGCAATTGAGAGCACACAAAGCAACGTGAACAAGAAAATCAATAATAAATATTAAAGTACTTTTGGCATTGTACACTATTTACTCATACGAAATGAATCTCTAAGCTAACATTATCTTCTCTGAAGATAGGTTTTACAAAAGATCCTCCTCCTCTCCAATCTCTGCACTCTTGGGTCCTTGTATCATTTGCATGACTGGATGTGAGTCATTCAGGATCTGCTTATCAGTTCTTATTCATCTACTATTAGGAGCCAAAAACATTTCTTCTGATAAATGCTTTTCAGTAATGGCTGCTACAGATTGCCTCATTTCTCATACATTCCCTCCAGTATCCTAAATTTTAGCTCTTGAGTTTGGGGTTTTTTCAGCTACACTTTTTTTTTTCTTCCTAATTCCTTCCATTATTTTTTCCTTTATATAGTATGGTGTATTGAGGCTTCAGATGATAACAGTTTGCTAGTTATTAGTTTTTAGGGACATCTCTGAAGTTGTTAGACTTCTAGACTATGGCTTTATTAGATCACTGCTTTGGAAGGGAAAAAGAATAATGTGTTATCCTTTTTCGCAGTTCCAAGTTATTCCCATGCAAAAAAAACCCGAAACTTAAACTGGAGGTAAGACTGCAAATACAGTATCAATAACTAAAAGGAAAATAAAGAAACTTTTATAGTTGATTTTTAAAAACCAAAACAAATCACTAATTCGTGAAAGCCACAAAATATAAAGTTCAAGTTGCACTATAAAAGAGCAAGCAATTGAAATGACATACATTAAAGTTAAGGTAGCCCCAGCAGTGATAACTGTGTCATCACATCCATAACTCTTTAGCCCCCTCTGGGCACATCCCCCATAAGTGCACACATGCATTTCCCTGACGAAAAATAGCAGCAGCATATATTTGTGCCACTGCTACCTGTCCCCAGGCACACGCCTGCATACACATTGTGGCGCACAGCAAGGTGCCCCAGGTGGGTAGGGGAGGCTGGGGCCAGCACCTGGAAAGGCCCCAGCAGCCTTACCTGGGGTTCTGGGGGCCTCCCAGGGCCAAAGCAATGGCAATCCAGGTTCCAGGAGCCTGGCCAGCAGCCCTTCTCTTTTTTTTTTTTTTTTTGGTGCGTTTCTTTTAGATACCAGTACTTCCCAGTATCTAATTTTGCTCCTGTGCTGCAAATATGCAGCATGGTGAACAGATTAGCATGCACCATGTGCATTTTTCAACACCTGAAAAGGCTTTGGGGTACCATAAACCACACATTCCTGCTTCTGGGAACACAGCCTCTGTGTTTATATAGATACAATAGTTACTCTTAAGAAGTCAGCATTCATCAACACTTGCCATAAAATAGTATCTGAGATGCTGTGTTTATTTTCCTCTCCTTAGAAGTATTCAGTAATTGTTAGCAAATTCTTATTTGGTGGTAACCACTGTACATGCCTATGAAAAGTGTTACAAGTAAAGTAGCTGGCTTGTCAAAGCTCTGTAAACACTGACATTTCAACTTCATCTGCAGATGTCTTAAACTACATCTAATGTAATTTATGCACTAGAGCTAACAGAGTATACAGAACCTAAGACCAAGGATGTGCTAATTTGAAGTTACCTCCAGCAAGAGGGAAAGTAACAGTGGATGGTAAACGGGTGAAAGGAATATGGTTAGGTCTCTGGAATCAAACCAGTGAGGTGATACGTCTGCAGCAAAGTCTGTATCGCACCCAAAAATCTGTCCATTCCCAAGTCTTTGTCATCACCACAGGACCACCCATCCTCTTAGAAGCAACTTGTGGTATCTTATCAAGAGACCATGAGCTAGAGGCTCCTTTCTGGTCCAATAGATGACACATGGCATTAAGGCTGGGAAGTAAAAAATACCAAGATTTATCTTATTTGGAAATTCAGCTTCATCTTCAACTTTGAGAGACTGGTATCTTTCCAGAGTCAAAGACTCCTTTCTCCCACTTTCTTCTAAGAACTAGGGAAATAATTTTTTTTAACTTGTATGTTAAAAAAAAGTTCAGATTGAGGCATTTTCTGGGTCAGTGCCTCAGCCCTAGATAAAAAAAAAGAGTTGTCTTCAAATAAGATAGTATGTTGACTGAATTTTGACTATAATTTTAAAGTGTCATTGACTTAAGTCTGATTTTCAAAAGGGTTCATCATCTAGACTTCAGAAAATGCTGGGCTCTGAACATTTTTTAAAATTATGCCAATGTAGACACCAAGGGTGAAATCCTGACCTTGCTGAAGTTGGTGGCAAAACATGTAGAGTCAGGACTTCTTCCCTAGTTTTTCAAATTTTAGTCTTAATATCTGCATGTTCCACATACAGTCATGTGAACCCACAAATGTGTATGTAGGAGTGGTGTCTATTGTAATAACTAGCTTCCAGGGTCAAAAATTATAGTTAAGCAATTTTTTGCTTTATCCATAAGCTTGAAAATGGAAGTTCCTGACCTAAAACTCAGTAGAACAAGACATAAACCTCTAGGTTGAATTACCTATTACAAGTATTTGGCCAACTGAGCACTCTCCTTAGGTGAACACTTCTAAGTGCTTTGTAATACTCGATTCTACTTCCTCTTCACCTAC